ATCAGCAGGATCATTAATATTCTGCATTTGACTCCATGGTCCACAAACAGGTGCCATGTGGATGATTTTTGGCTGTTGTCGCTCAATGACTTCCATTGCCTTTCGCCGGCCTTCGGCAGTGAGCAAGTCGTAACCTGTGCGGAGGTCTATTGGAGCGCCGACTCGAAGTCCTTGCATTGCTGCCGCTTGACTAAGCTTGGCGGAGCCGCTAAACAGCTCAAGGAAATCTAATTTTCCGGTCATAGCTGGCTCCCATGTATAACAACCATATGTAATACCTTCAGGACCTGTCTGAATGGCATCGTGTTCTATGATGTTATTTGCATGGTCATCAGAGCGGCATGTGGACTTCACTGCTGTACAGGCGCCCTTGGCCGAAGATTCGGCACCGGCGGCAGCTTTGGCCGAAAAGTCGGCACTGGCAAGTGCAATTGGTTCTAAAGGAATGTCAATATCCTCAATAGGATTATGGTCTTTTCTGATTTTACTGATGTTGACCTTCACGATTCTGGTTCCTAAATCAACTCCAACCATACTGCCATCTACGGAAACCAACTTTCCTTTTATCCATTTTCCTCCATGTGAACCGTCTGATTTGATTTTTGATTTGTCTTCGGTCCAATAGTAAACTTTATCTCCAGGAAAGAATGGTCCATCACTAAGTTGAAGTTTACTCGCAATATCTCTTCGAAGGTCATCTGATTGTTTTGCCTCTAGAAACTTTCGCATCGCCAGTGACCTTAGTGCTTCAATCTGTCTCTCAGGAGCAGGGGCCTCAGTCGTGAGCTGAGCTGGATTCATGAGCTCAATCGCCGTAAGATCGGCAGGTCTTCTGCCAAATGCTAATTCAATAGGAGTGACACCACCGAGTGTTACCATGGTGTTCCTTGAAATGCAGGCTTGTCTCAACAACTGTTTATAAGTAATGTTGGCAAGCAATGGATCATCTTTCAAGGAAATTAGCATTAATGAGACCTGTTTCTTAAACATGCGAATGGCTGCCTCAGCTCTATTTGGCCATGGTGTTCCTGGTCCTAGAGAGATTGGCCTGATGCTGTGCCGGTTGTAGTAACTCTCCATCTCTATGCCCATGAAAGCTTGATCGGCAACAATGTATTTTGGATTCAGCTGATAAGTTTCAAAGTATTCTTGAAGATGGGAAATCGTCACCGGATCAGATCTGTTTTGAACTACAAAAGCAGTAGGTCAAAGAGGTTGCACCATCATACATAAGCAGGAATTGAAGTTTTGACTGTTGATTGATCGGAACTTCTCCATGATCAATGAAGGTAAGTTCACCAAAGACTTCACTTCGGATTCCTGAAACCTTAGCTCTCGATGGTGCAATCCTGGCAGTGGAACATGTGTCACATGATTTTGTAATCTGATCAAATTTGTCATAGATTTCTTTTGGCAACTTCAGAGCCGATGTTCTTCTCTTGAATTGTTCAGTGGTCATGTGATAATGCTTCAAATGCAACTTGAGAAGTTCAGTGGGTGATTGAAGCTTATCATGAATTCTCTGAAGTGCTAGTGACAAAGTTCCCTTAGGTGACGGTTCCTTTTTCTCTTCAAGTTTTACTCCAGCTTTAGGTTCCGGTTTGACTTCAGTTTCTTCTTCAATCTGAGGTTCCCGACGTCTTGGGATACCGTCCTTCGAACCGGAACTTGGCCCAGAGGCCACCATTGGCTCTTCATCGGGATCAAAAGGTTGAGCTGGTACTTCTAACTTACTATCAGGCTGAATTGCTTTCTTGACAATCTTCTTGGAATCAGGCTTGGCCGATTTCGGCACCTCTTCAGGCTTAGGCTCTGATCCTTTGAATCTCTTGCAACCTTCTTTGTTGGTGTGTGGTCGATGTTTACCATTGCATGCTGGGCATGTGATGTCTTCGGACTGAAAGCTGTACATCGGTTTCCAACTGGAAGTAGCAAGAGCCATAATGTCAAGGACTGGATGGTTGGATGTACTGACCGCCAATGCGGTGCGTTGCATTCCAAACAGTGGACAAGTCATGAACTCACCTACAGGAGTGTGCTCAATGTTCATGCGAAGATTCCTCATTTGTTCAACTGAAAAGAGGATAGGAACCTTACCTTTGTCCAGGATGTCAACGCATGTTGTGATCCAACCAGTTTGTGCACGATCATTGCGAAAATGAATCACTAACCTTTCCTTGACTGTAGATTGTTCTCCATTGGCAAATGAAAACTTACTTGAACACGGTTGCTTAGAAAACCAAATGTGATCACGCTTGGGATGTTGTTGGCAAGCCTGTACAAGGCGTTCAATGGCAAAGCGGGATCCCATGGCTCGAGTGCAACCTGAGTCAAGGATGACATAAGTCGGATGAGAACCTAAATCTACATATTCACAAAGCAATGCTTGTTGGGCACCATGATCATAATTTAGGAATACACACTCTTCCGTAGAGACGGAATCGAGCGGGCTTGTGCGCGGCTGAAACGAATGCAGCTCACCGTTTCCGGTAGAAACACTCTTCTCAACTTGGCGAATGCTCTTCAATAGGGACCTGTTCAAATCAGAAAAGCACTGGTACATCACAGACACGAACAGAAGCACGAATGTGAGGGCCTCTACAAGTTCGTGTCCGAACAATCGGAACAAGCGGATGCCTGAAAAACAGAACCGGTTGATCTTGTCGGTCTGTCCGTCCTCGAAATTGACGTCTGAATGCTTGTCCTCGGAGTCGGTCAGTTCCTCAACGGAAACAAAATACGACCAATTGTACCAATCACCTTGGGAGTAATCTCCGTCATATCCATAGTAGGATTCATAACCTGACCAGTCATCTGTCCAGTATGTGTCATAGTCGTAACTCCAGCTTTCTTCGGCATGGGCTGCTTCTTGTTTTTCAGGGGCATGTGATGCACTGGATGATGCAGCCTGTGCTACATTAGCTTGTGGAGGTTGTGACAAAAATGGATTGGTTCCTCCTTTGTTCTTCGCATCACCTTTTCCTTTTCCTTTCCATGAAGGCATTCCTTTGAAAGAATCCTTTCCTTTCATCATTCCTTTCTTGCCCTTTTTACCTTTTCCTTTACCCTTGCCTTTTCCCCAGAAAGCCGTGTCTTGCTGGTCATCTTCCCATGCTGCAAAACCTTTGCCTTTTGACCTCGAGCGGAAGCCGGGTCTTGATTTCTTTCCTCCTTTCTTGCCATAACCCTTTGGTCTACCTTTCTTGAAGGACCTGCCGTAGATGCGGCGCTTAGAGTATGAACCCTTGGCGCTGAGAACCCAGAACTCGTTCTCCGTGTACAGACCTGTGAAACCTTCTTCACCCGTCTCTTCATCAAAGACCCAAAATCCGTACTCACCTTCTTCGGTCTCGCCCTCGTCGATGACGTAGAAGTTGGACCGCTTGCGGTGCGTGATATTTGGGTCTGCAACACCTGTGCGGGAAACGGCAAAAAGTTCTAAGAACAGCTGTTTCACTTGGAGATAGGTGTATTGAGGCATTGCAATCTGACGGATGTTCATGGACGAGACAAAGCGCTCTCGCTGTTGCTCGTTGAGGTCTGCTTGCACTAGAAAAATCAGTGACATCAAATTGTCTGACAATGGAAACTGCTGTGCATGTCTGGTCCTTCTATTGGTTATGGTCTGTTCTCTCAGTTCTTGTTGATAAGCTAGCTTATCTTCATCTGTTACTATCTGGTTATAGTGCAGTCTTTGCTCATCTGTGAGTGCTGCCGTAAATGCCTGAGTGCCTGCCTCGGGAAGATCGGATATGTCCAGCAGATCGGACCAAGAAGCCAACAAACGCTTCTGCGCGATCTCAAATCGCCCTATCCAGTGCACGAATTCGCTCTGGCCTCGATATGTGCGAAACATCTGGAGGAATCGCCAAAGGAACACATGATTTACTCCCTTCACGAAGTATGGTCTCAATGTGTCCTTGAAATGAGCGAGGCCACGATCCGGATCTCGGAGTAGGGCATTATCGAGCATCGACTTATAAAAGAAGCGGAACCAATGAGGGCATTCTTTAAGGATGGTCCATGTTTATCTGCATCCAATGTTGTGATCCCTAACCAGTCATCAATTAAATCTTCATATTCAAACCAGCTTGATTGGCCATCAAATTGGGGTGGAACCTTCGGTGTCATTTTGATGCCCATCCGGTTTTCGGAATGACTGGTGGCGGCATATGCTTCAGGCTCTTCATACGAGACAATCTGGAGTTGTTCTTCATCTGAATCCATGTTGTGGATTAAGACCATGGCAACTACTCTAACTTGACCTACAGGTTGCCTCCGCAAGTCCGATATACGGAATGTATGCAGAGAACGGCAGTTCGGCACACGGATCTAGACTTGGCGAAGGCACAGGCTCCGCTACCACTTTGAGGTAGCTTTTCCCACTATTAGGGGAGCCCTGGAGACCTATGAACACCTGCGGACAAGAAGTGGCTGCTGCACTCTCTTTTTACACTACGCGGTTTGCTGCTAGTCTTGAGCCATGCGGAGTGCGCATGAGAGATATGAATTAAGTATACATGTCAACATGCATGAATGCATTGTGAAGACACGTAAACAAAAATAAATCACAGGGGGGTTGTTGTTCAATTGGGGGCGGGGGGGTGTTGTTCAATTCTGTAGCAGAAATGGCTTTCGTAGACTTATTTAGCGGCAGATAGAGTAATTTAGTGGCAGAAAAGAAAGGCCGCCGTAGATGTATTTTGTAGCAGAAAATGTTCCTGTGGACTTATTTAATGGCAGACTAGGCTATGGGAGCCTTTCATCCCGTAGCCTGTCTGCCACTAAATTACTCTATGGAATCCTTTTTCTGCCGCTAAATAAGTCTACGGAAGCCATTTCTGCTGCAGAATTAAACAACACCCCCCCGCCCCCAATTGAACAACAACCCCCCCCTTCGCCGAAAACAACCCCCCGGTGTTCATCGAACAACCACCCCTCTATCGGGAGGATCTGTTTGGGTGGTCGAAGCAAACAAACGAGCTGCTCAGCAAAGCGGCCTTGCGACCCAACAGGATGGTGTGAAGACGTTCTGCCAGTGCACTCGGGTGGTCCTCATGATGAGGTAGGAAAAATTCGAAGTGCATTTGCTCCACTCACTAGACTGATCGAAAGGGACCTGTTTTTTTCCAGCAGAAAAACTACAGGAATCTATCAGTACTCTTGTCCATACAGCAAAGCAAGCTTGCCCAACACTGCCCAAAATTCTACTTTGAGCAGACTCAAAACTAAACTAGGTGACCCAAAAATTTGATGCATGTTTCCTGTCTTCAATCCTTGCCATGTTTTGTTGTGAGACGTGTCTTGTCCCAAATTTGGCCTTTTAATCCACCACCAAATCCACTGCCGACCTTTGCTGTCACAAAGAGCACTGGATGAGCTGCACCCGCAGCACAAGCTGCCACTGTTAGGCCCAGTTGAGTTTTACCTGCGCCAGTGACGGCCGTTTCCATTCAGCAATAAGCTGCAGGCAGACGGGTTGCCCTTGATTTGGATCCACTATGATCCACTTCTTTTGAATCTCTACAGCTGATTTGGACTTTAAGATTCCAACTAGTGAAGGGGCAGCTGGTTCCTTCTCTCAAAACATGCAGCGAGGTCTCGTTGCGAACAGGAGTACTCCCCCAATAGCATCAAAAAGAGGAGGATCTTTCAAAGCTCCAAATCTTATAGATATCGAAAGCTCACTTTCCATCACTTTTCCTCCATCCCTTGACCTAAAACTTGGTAACTTGGCAGATCTTGGCAGATCGCCTGCACCGGGTCCTCCATAGACTTCGCAGATTTCCCCTGGGCGAAGTCCCAAGATCTGCTCCAAGGCGCCCAGACCCAGGCGGATGGGCGACACCTGGCGATTGTTTCACCCTTGCAGTACATTGCACGGTGAAAAATGACAAAAAATGTCAAAAGCTGTGGTAAAAGCTGTGGCAAGAGCTGAGCTTTCTAAACTTCAGGGGTCAAAAGACTTTCGGCCCGAGTGCTGGTGACATTAGAGTCAGAGAGAGAAAAAGTGCACTCCGTCTGCTTACACATTTGCTATCGAAGCTCGGATGAAACGCATTCAACCAGCCAGCTCGACCTCATTCAATCGTCCCAAACAATCAAATACAAGAAACATCAAGAAACTATTTTTGGTTTCCATGCCCAAGCTCAAGCTATCGGCCTTGTTTATGTGCACAATAATCCGCGCGAGACTATTAGTCTACGATATAATAAGTGATGAATACAATAAGTGATGAATGTTCGGACAGATCCAGTTGGATTTAGATATTATATATATATATACATATACATATAATTTACATAAAAGTACTGGCGACACCCCAATTCCCTTCTGCGTCTCGCAGTTCGCCTGCAGCATGGCTCCATCCTCACAGGGTAATCTCAGGATTGCCTAAATCCAGAAAGACTTCAAGACCTTGCTTCAAGCATTTCACAATTTACTCAGAATCCACACTATTGATACTCTTGGCACTGTTGATACTAGTGATACTATTGACAATTGACACTATTGACACTATTGGACCATATGAGCAGCGTTCAAAACCTCGTTATTCCTTCATACTAGTTGGTTGAGACAGATTCGCATGATCGGGGATCATTGTCATCCGCAATAAACCATGTAGGACTCTATATATATAATTATATATATATAACCCCATACAAGAACTAATCCAAATGGATGTTGGTCATCCTTCATGTGAAATCAAATCTGATACTTTGAAGCTTTACAATCTTTATATCAACCCATTCAATACATTTCAATACTCAATGAGGAGTGGGGAGTCGCAAGTCCACCTGAGCATCCAATCAGCGAGTCTCATGTCCCAAGCCTCTGAAAAGAGCAACTGCTCGCCAGTCATCGGCTGAGGCTTCTCTGCCTTGAAAGGGCCAGGTGAATCGTGGTGAAACTTAGGTGGTTTTGCCACTCTGAAAACTGTTCGGACCAGAAAGGCATTCAACTATGTTTGAAACGCCAGAAGCTTGCGAGGTACCCAAAAATGGCCAACAGTGAAATCAGTGTCGGGACCTGACCTGACAACTTGCTCTATTGAGGAACGATATGCATCTGTTTTTTCCTGATCCACTTCCCCATGCTGCAAATACGGGCCCGGGCCCGGGCCTCTCCAGCATCAGCCAGAATCCGGTCGCAGACATCCCAGCTCGTGTTGCTGGCGTTGCCCTTGGCCATGCTGCACCGCACGGAGACTCCGCGACTCCGCGGTCTCGTGACGGATGTCCTGAATGATGAATGATGAATGATCTGAAATATCACTGGATGTCATTGAATGTCTAGGTTCTTTTCTTCTACGTGAGTTGATAGCAGTATGGGAATATGACGACTGGTATTATTTTTTTTGAACTGTCTCAGGTTGATGATAGAGCCCTTTGTTGGAAGCACGATTGCCATATTGTCCAACTTGACTGCTTGAAAGCCGGATTGATCATAGCAAGAAATCTGCTGTCGGAGACTGAAAACATCAATTATTGGGGTGCTACACCTTGCATATTTGCTTTTGGCTTGATGACCTTCACTTATTCCGGACGGTGCTTGATCCAGAAAGGCAAAGATGAGGTGTGTGTGTGTGGGGGGGGGGTTCAGGCAGTGCAAATCCGAGGTGAGAAACTATGGTTTATTGAAGTTTATTGGTGTTTATTTTGGTTTGCAGGGATGAATTGGTTGCCAATAATCTCGATAGTCGATAGTATATTCACCCTGAAAGAAAATGGTGGCAACCCACTGAATCCGAAAGAAAGTTTTTGACTGACAGTCCTGTGTCTTATCTGACCTACCCTTTTCCACGCAGTGTTCCTTTAAAAGCGGATGGCATCTGTTTGTGCGGCCGTTGGCTGGTGAACCAGCAAGCACTGCATAGCTGTGAAGAGCAGGCCGCATTCCATGGTACTAAGTACTTTATAAGCCATATTAAGCCATTCTACCCTGGTATCCAAACGATTGCTGCCTTTTCATCAGTTTTGACTAAAAAGAATAAGAGCCTCAACTTCTGCATTTCCCTTCCCGCCGTCTTGGTCCCTAGACCCGGTTCAACCTTGCATGATGTCCATTGGAAAATAATTGAGCCCGTAATGAACTGCCTGATTACTGCAATTAGTGCAATTGCAGCAATTTTAGGAGAAGGAAGCAAACTTTTGCATCTGGTAAAGTGTTTTTTTTGCGAACTGCTATTGCTCCTTTGGGCCGGAGCATAATCGTTCGTGGCATCCAACATGCCTGTCAAGTTGACAAAATCCCTCTTCCAACTGCGGTGACATGCTGCAGCCTTAACTCAAGCCACCTCACAGCTAATGTGAGTCAATCCCGTCTGGCTGTGGCGGCGGGCACGGCGAGTGCGAAACTTGTGATTGCTGTGGATGTTTGTCGAAGACCTATTGTAACTGGCTCACGTGGGACAACTCTCTGAATTCTAGAGGACCGCAAACATGAAATTTACAAAATGAAAGTGGAGCTTGCATGTGAAGAGTTTGGAATGTGCTATAGTATCTAGATTATCTATAGTCTCCTCTGCGGCAACCGAAAATGATGACAGGCGATGCTTGTTAAGTTCACTGCGGCTTGGTTGTTGTATGAATCCTCACCGCCAAGCCTTCCGAGGGCCCCAATGGGCCCCATTTGCAGATCGTGGGTCTGGCGACACGCTGAAGTGACCTCCCTGGCCTTCCTTACCTGGCTTGTCAGTTTTGTCAGGCTTGTCAGGCCCAAGATCCCAAGGAAAATATATTTACATCAGCCAACGGCACTACGACCTCCCTCGGCTGTCGGAGTTTTCTGCTACCGTCGCTGTCCAGTCAGACGCCATCCAACTGATATCTGATTGAGAAGCAAATTGTTTTTCTGCAGAAGGAAGTAGTAACTCACTATGTGACATGTCTCAAAGTTGGAGCCGCCATTTTCATCTAGGATTGCTTCAATTTCTAAGTCAACCATCAAACATTGTCAAACAGTATGTTTTAGGGGATTCAGCTTTTGTGACACTTGATCGATCTCATGGCACTACTGGATGTCTGACAAATCTCTGAACTATGGGCGCACAGCGTTGGCTGCCGCTAGCCCGGAGTGTCAGTTCTGCAGTTGCCTTGGTGCAGGACAAATGTTCCAAGACAATCTCGTACCCACCCAGTATGGCCGAAATTGAAGGTCACAACTTTCCCAGAAAGTGTGTATTCCTTCTCACCCACAGTACAGTCCCCGCAGTGTGGCACACTTTTTTGAGCGAATCTTCCAACGAACATCTGAAAATTTGAAGAGTCTTGGACACTTCGGGGTTTTGGCTGAACCCAAAGGCACATGTCAATGATATTTCAGCAACCACAATATTGAAGGCACAAGCAAGTGGAGTTTTGCCTGCTCTATCTGGTCTCACAATATACGTAGAAGTTGTGAAGATCCATTTCTGCTTACAAGGTCTCTCACAATTGGGTCAGCTTCCTTTGCTGCAACACATGCTCAAACTGCTAACCCCTGTCCAGGATAGTCTGAAGTTGCGAAGTTCTTTGTCGCAAGATGACCATCTTGATCCATGCTCGGGCGGTGGTCCAGGCTCTGCAACAAAATCCAAACGAGGAAGAATGCAAACGGTGATCCCCCGGTACTATGAACAAGACTGCGGCTCCACTTTCAAACACCTCATCGATGCCCGTTTCACTGTCATCCAAGGATCGATCGATCAAAGACTTTGCCTGATGTCAACGCACGTGGCAATATCTCACTCCACGTGTGCCCTTTAAAACCGGACGAAGTCGTTGGCATCATCTTCCTGCGCAATTCCGGTATCTGATTCAAATGGGGGACCGGAGTCATCTCAGATCAAAAAAATGTGGGTGTTTGGGATCAAAGAAAAACAGCTAGTTCCCGACCTCGGTGCTTGGCATAGCCATTCGCACAGAAGCATCAATGGAGTCGGGAAGCCTCAAGAAATTGGAGAAGGGTTGGATCCGATGGGTTCCACTCTACGTGAGGACCTTACTTGCTTTCTGGATACATATATGTTATTATGTTTATATCATCTTACATCATAGTTTATATCATTTTATATCATTTTACATCAGTTTATATCATTTTATATATCATTTTATATCATTTTATATCATGTTATATATCATGTTATATATCATTGTATATATCATTTTATATCAATTTATATCATTTTATATATCATTTTCTATATATATATATACCATTTTATATCATTGTGTGATTTTATGATTCTATGATATTCTATGATTCTATAATTACTTGTTGTATGCTCCATTTGGGGGTCCATCTTAAGTTGCCGACTTGTAGGTTCCCACCCCTGATGAGTGCCGCCAAAGGACCCTCGAAGCCGACCCAAGATCATAGTGAAGACCAGCAACATCTGAGAGGCTCCACCTTCCACAGCACCATGGCATGAGTATCACAGTATCATGAGTTAAGTCAGTTAAGTATCAAACTTATCAAACCTACCCTGGGACCCTGGGGAATTGAATTAAATTTATAGCACTTCCAACAACTTCCACACCGTCGTTGCCCTTCTTATATGGGTGTCAGAAGGGTTGATTTGCCAAACGCCAAGTGATATTTTGGGTCACAAATGAGGGCCCCACACCAGACTCCGCTGAAAGAGAAGGTCTGATTCCTTGGAGCAAATGAGATCCAAATGCTTGAAATGAACAAGGCTCAATGCTTGGTACTGGGCTTCCCCGCTCAAAGCCCAAGGAAAGGCCACAGGTGCCGTAAGCTGACAGAATTTCGAAAAGCACCTGGGATCTCCATGCACATCTGATATTTTAGATGATTTGAGTGTGCCACAGGGGTGATATCCAAACATTTGTCTTTTTGTTGATTCCGATAAGAGGTGTGGAACAAAAACAGCTGAAATGACGGCTTCAAATGACTATTGCAATAGATTGTATCTGGTTGGCTCTGCGGCCCATGTTAGACCCTTGCAGCCGAGGTCCCAAACCTCATGACCGCCCCTTTAGGAATGAAACCTTCAACAAAAAGAGCATGAACATGCATGAACAGGACGCCAACGAAATGAAAGTACATTGGCTCAACGTCAGATCTGAAACTCAGTACGTGCTCTGTGTGGAATCTTCCTAACAGTCCTAACAGTTTTGAACATTTACACCTTAAATCCAGGTATGTTTGCACCCCGGAACCATTGATCGCTGTGCCAAGGCTGCCCAGCTTTGAAGAAACCGAAGTCGGTGTAAATGCCGTCGCTGTCGGGAGACGGATGCTTGGCTGCCCTCCAAAAACAACGAATCGACGGAACAAGATTCAGATAGATTCAGATAGATTCAGCTTCAAGCAGAGGTCATGATCCCAATGTTGGAGTGCCAATCCACAACAAGCTTTGCTGAGGTAGGTGCAAGAGAAATGATTGACTTCAATGTCCACAAAGTTGTTGTTGTGGCCAACTATGAGTTTGCATGCGGCATGGCAGTTGTCATCCTTCCCTTCCACTTCCGTCTCATGTAATCATATAGTCCTTTTCAGTCCTTTCAATAAGTTGCTGCATGCTGATTGCGCGATGGAAGTCCAAACAGTAAATGTCAGGTTCCAATGGGGCCATGTGCAAAACTTGTGGGGTGCAGGACACATTTGCATGTACCCATATGGACCCATTGTGTTCATATAGACTGACACACTTGCACATGTATATTACATACGATATAATAATACATGCCTACCTCTGAAAAATAGGTAAACTACAGCCACCATCGTCTCTACAGAATAGGGACATGACTTACATACAGTATACGTATAGTACACATACAGCAAGCTGCAGTGGTATCATTATCATACACAAAGAATACCACTGTTGGACTTGCTCATGCCCTCCCGTCTTCACTTGACGCCAGGGCCTGGCAAAGCTGTCTTGCTCCAAGCAGCAAATAAGGAAACAAATCACCTCAGCCACAAACAAGATATAAAAATATGTGGTGTATAATATCTTTATATATATATATATTAGATTATATTACAGTCATGCTGGATGTTTCGCCAACCAGAGCTCGTGCGAGTTGACTGATTTCACCTCCGTGTTGCAAAGGAGGTGATGTCAATGATGTCAAGATATGTCAAGTTCCCTTTTCACAGACAATGTATAGATGTAGCCTTGTAGCCGCGAAACTGGCAACTGCTCCTATCCAGACCTTAAGACAACCATGCTGGCCAGTTCCACATCACAGGCTCTGTGTCCATTTTCTGAAGAGAGGCACATTCAGAGACACAGCTTTATTTGAAAACTAAAGCAACCCATTCAGCAAAATGCCCCAAATCTTTGTGGTGCAAACCGCCAGTACTACCTCGTGCTAGCAATACAGTTGAGGAATATTCATTAAGTATACTAAGTATACCATAAAGTGCTGCATCTCGTCTACAACCTCGGTGTAGGTATGCTTCAGATCACGTCATCCCCACAGCGATCCGCGGTATCCATGGCCCCAGGCCAACAGGTATGTCGCGTCTTGCGTCAAGTACCTTCTGGCCTGCGGAAGCTTCAGCTCAGCTTGAAAAGCTGGGTTGCTGGGTAAGTCCGGGGGTTGGGCAGGGGCCATGTTGGAGATCTGAGGAGATCTAGTTGCCAAGAACTGGGAGCGGGCCCTGCAACCCTCCGAACCGAGTCCCAACCTGTCCCTTCAAGGAATTCTCCGCAGTGATCACTGCTTCTTCGACTCCTTCCACTCTGCCAGTAATGTCCAACTCGTGCCTGGGTGAGATGACTAGAGATGACTGGAGATGACCCAGCCGGAGCTTCAACAATCACTGGAGTCACCCCAACTCCCAATGTCCGAGTTCTGTAGAACTCCTAATCCGAAGCTGGATGTCTGTTTCGAAAAACGTTCAGTACGTTCAGTGCGTTTTCCTTCTTTCTAGTTGAACCTACATTATTGAAACATTTATGGCAGCTCGGATTGTTTCAGGTTCAAGAAGAAACAAATGATGCCTACATAAAGTACTTATTGAGCTTGCTGGAGCCCAACTTTATTTTGTTTAGAAACCCACAAATTTTCAAAACAGCCCATATGAATCCATGTAAAATAGTAGGTCAACTGCAGCGTCAAAGGGATCAGAAGTGCAGTAGACTCAGTAGATACAAGACAGACGGACATCGACAACATACATGACGTGAAGGCATACCCTCTAGGCATGGTTGCATGTTCCCAGCAAATCCTAAGTGCTGGGCTCAGCAGCAGACAAACGCATGGTCACCACCTTCGGCTAAAGTTGTCGCAAGCTCCAGGAAGGGGCAAAATAGATTATAGTAATTGCATGTGTTTGGCATGTGGGTTTACCAGAATCAGCAGGATACCCAAGCACTTTGTATCTAGGCTTCTGAAACAAACAAAGAAACAGCGATTTTGGGGTCCCTGGTTTTAAAGATCAACCACACTTTGTCGGATTTCGGGTCTTACTTTGGAAGGCGCTGTCCTAAAGTCTCAAAGGCAGGCTGCATCCATAAGCACTGAGCCCAGCACTGTCGGTGTCGTGGAAAAGTACATCCTGACACGGAACAGGCCCTCATTTTGGTGAAAACTTAGCCTTATAAAGATCGACCTGGCACAGCCTTGCTTCCAACTAGCACAATACTGGCCATGCTGGGAAATGTCATGAAATGTCAGTGTTTGTTGGAAAATCAATGAAAAGCCACGCACTTTCAGGGAGAAACCAACTTCGGAATTCCTTCCTAAAGTTGCAGACCTGGCATGAGTTTATGCTTGTCTGAAAACATCAGGCCATACCACAGGGCAACAGGGCAACAAACCAGCCAGCGTGGCATGACTGCCATGAAGAAAGTCGTTCCCTGGGATAACCTCAGTCCAGGAACTCCACAGCTGGAACTAAGCTGGCGCATCACTCTTACCTTGTTTATCCTTGTTTACCTCCCAAAGTCTTCAATTCAAAACAACCGAAAATTAGATTGGTCGCTTTGGGCCAGATTTTGACCCGTAGTAAATGACAGGTGTAGATCGTAAATGCCACGTCCCACTAGTTAAATTTTTAAACCATGTTAAACCAGCATCAATGCCACGTTCATCTTTTCAAAACAGCGTGTCCCTGAAGTCTGAGACATTCCCCAGTGCCAAAATATCTTCGATCCCAAGAAGTCGTTCCGGAACCAAGCAGCTGGGCAATGTTGATGGAGTTCATCCCTCAGGACGTGCAACTTGGCCCCAGCTGACCACCATGTCTACAGTTGATCACCACTCAGAGAACACACTACCAAAAAAATTGGGTTGCTTTGCATTTACTCCTTAGTCACCTTAGTCAAGTACATCGTATTTCATAAACTTAAGAGTGAGTACTGCCTACCTCAGCATCTGATTTCGCACCACCTTTACCAAAATACATCAAGCACCCTGCCACACTAAAACGAGCATAGCCACATTGCGTGGCCCATGAAAATGAATCCTTCCCCTGCCCAGGATGCGCCTGCAGTCCGAGTTGACACGGTCTGAAACCTTGTTGGCATCAGCAGGTTGCCATGATAAAACGAGTTTCATCCTGAAAGAGGTGCAAAGGAATTGTTGAGGTGCTCACAAGGCATTCCCCATCTTTCCACCTGCTTCAAGACCAGTGAAGGCTTTGCTATCCCAGTCCTGGCCAAAGCCATCCACCGACCACTCTGCAAGAAAGGGGGAATCATGTGTGCATGTTGATTCATATTCCAATATGTATAACATAGACCCGGGCAAGCCGGCGGCGGAAGTTTCCCAAACATAAATGACCTATAGTTCAAAGACAACCTGTCCCGACCGTGTCCTTCCCTCGACACTCCACACCTCACAATGCACACTGCACTCTTCGCACTCCAAACTTCAAACTTCACACTCCACACTTCACACTCCACACTTCTCACTTCTCACTGCTTCCTTCACACTCCAACCCTCACACTTCACACTTCACACTGCACACTTCACACTTCACAGTCCACACTTCACACTTCACACTTCACAGTCCACACTTCACACTTCACACTTCACAGTCCACACTTCTCACTTCGCACTTCACACTTCACACTTCACACTCCACATTTCACACTCCTCACTTCACACTTCTCACTTCTCACTGCTTCCTTCACACTCCAAACTTCACACTTCTCACTTCGCACTTCACACTCCACACTTCACAGTCCACACTTCACACTTCTCACTTCTCACTGCTTCCTTCCGACTCCAAACTTCACACTCCAAACTTCACACTTCACACTTCGCACTTCACACTCCTCACTTCACACTTCACACTTCACACTTCTCACTGCTTCCTTCACACTCCAAACTTCACACTTCACACTTCACACTTCACACTCCAAACCTCACACTTCACACTTCACACTTCACACTTCACACTGCGCTCTTCGCACTCCACACTGCACAGTCCACACTTCACACTTCTCACTTCACACTTCTCACTTCTCACTGCTTCCTTCACACTCCAAACTTCACACTTCTCACTTCTCACTTCGCACTTCACACTCCACACTTCACAGTCCACACTTCACACTTCTCACTTCTCACTGCTTCCTTCCCACTCCAACCTTCACACTCCAAACTTCACACTTCTCACTTCGCACTTCACACTCCACACTTCACTCACACTTCACACTTCACAGTCCACACTTCACACTTCTCACTGCTTCCTTCACACTCCAAACCTCACACTTCACACTTCACACTTCACACTGCGCTCTTCGCACTCCACACTGCACAGTCCACACTTCACACTTCACACTTCTCACTTCTCACTGCTTCCTTCACACTCCAAACCTCGCACTTCACACTTCACACTGCGCTCTTCGCACTCCAAACTGAAACTTCACACTCCACACTTCACACTTCTCACTGCTTCCTTCACACTTCACACTTCACACTGCACTCTTCACGCCCCACACTTCACACTGCTCTAAACGTACGTCCAACAAAAAAACACTAGTGCCAAAATGGAGAAATCTGCTAACAAACCCATTTCGCAGCCTTCATGCAGCCACCCCAAGACGATTTCCGAGATCCAGCTGCAAAAGACAATAGTATTACGAATGCAGCCACAGCACGAAGCAACCTTGACGCAGCCATTACAATGCGATCTGCAGAGACTGAGTTGCAAAGCCCAATAGAACTACGCGCAACGGCGTCGGAAATTGTAGCTCCAAAACCGGATCTCGACGCCAGAGCGAAAAAAAGACGATTTTGAAGCACTTTTTAAAAGGTTTTTAGAAGGAAAATCACTAGCGCCAAAATGGAGAAAATCTGCTAACAAATCCATGTCGCAGCCTTCATGCAGCCACTCCAATACGATTTCTGAGATCCAGCTGCAAAAGACAATAGTATTACGATTGCAGCCACAGCACGCAGCAACCTTGACGCAGCCATTACAATGCGATCTGCAGAGATTGAGTTCCAAAACACAATAGAACTACGCGCAACGGCGTCGGAAATTGTAGCTCCAAAACCGGGGATCTCGACGCCAGAGCGAAAAAAAGACGATTTTGAAGCACTTTTTAAAAGGATTTTTAGAAGGAAAATCACAAGCGCCAAAATGGAGAAAATCTGCTGACAAATCACTGTGGCAGCCTTCATGCAGCCACTCCAAAACGATTTACGAAGTCCAGCTGCAAAAGACAATAGTATTACCAATGCAGCCACAGCACGAAGCAACCTTGACGCAACCATTTACACTGCGGGAACGATCCTACAGTTGCAAAGCACAATGGAATTCCATCGGCAACTCATCCACCAGCACCACTTGCAATCCCATTTACATTGCGGGAACGATCCTAGAGTTGCAAATCACAATGCAATTCCATCAGCAACTCATCCACCAGCACCACTTGCATCCCATTTACAATGCGGGAACGATCCGACAGTTGCAAATCACAATGGAATTCTGTCGACCACACATGCACGAAAAACAGTTGACACCCCATTTACAATGCGGAACCGATCCGAGAATGATCCGCCCATGATCCGAACATGATCCGAGCATGATCCGACCACACACGAGACCGTCTCGCACCCGTCGCACCGCAAAGGTAGATCATCGACGTTCGGGGACGGACTTTGTATGGAAAAACATAGGGTTTCGTGCATCTGCTATCTCTCAAAAACGCATTTCGTGCGAGACTTCCATCAAAACTCCATCGGCAACTCCTCCACCAGCACCACTTGCAACCCCATTTACAGTGAGGGAACGATCCTAGAGTTGCAAATCACAATGGAATTCCATCGGCAACTCATCCACCAGCACCACTTGCAACCCCATTTACAATGCGGGAACGATCCTACAGTTGCAAATCACAATGGAATTCTGTCGACCGCACATGGACGAAACACAGTTGAAACCCCATTTACAATGCGGAACCGATCCGAGACCGATCCGAGAATGATCCGAGAATGATCCGACCACACACGAGACCGTCTCGCACCCGTCGCACCGCACAGGTAGATCATCGACGTTCGGGGACGGACTTTGTATGGAAAAACACAGGGTTTCGTGCATCTGCTATCTCTCAAAAACGCATTTCGTGCGAGACTTCCTTCAAAACTCCATCGGCAACTCATCCACCAGCACCACTTGCAATCCCATTTACATTCAGGGAACAATTTCTTTGCTAACTCTTTCTGTGACTAACTCTTCCCTCACTAACTCTTTCTTTGACTAACTCTTTCCCTGACTAACTGTTTCTTTGCTAACTCTTTCTTTGACTAACTCTTTCTTTGACTAACTCTTTCCCTGACTAACTGTTTCTTTGCTAACTCTTTCTTTGACTAACTCTTTCTTTGACTAACTCTTTCCCTCACTAACTCTTTCTTTGACTAACTCTTTCTTTGACTAACTCTTTCTGTGACTAACTCTTTCCCTCACTAACTCTTTAACTCTTTCCCTGACTAACTGTTTCTTTGCTAACTCTTTCTTTGACTAACTCTTTCCCTCACTAACTCTTTCTTTGACGAACTCTTTCCCTCACTAACTCTTTCTTGTTTCTTTGACTAACTCTTTCTTTGACTAACTCTTTCCCTCACTAACTATTTCTTTGACTAACTCTTTCCCTCACTAACTCTTTTTTTGACTAACTCTTTCCCTGACTAACTGTTTCTTTGCTAACTCTTTCTTTGACTAACTCTTTCCCGCACTAACTCTTTCTTTGACTAACTCTTCTTTGACTAACTCTTTCTTTGACTAACTTGTTTCTTTGCTAACTCTTTCTTTGACTACCTCATATATCCTGACTAACTCTTTCTTTGACTAACTCTTTCCCTGACTAACTGTTTCTTTGACTAACTCTTTCCCTGACTAACTGTTTCTTTGCTAACTTTTTCTTTGACTAACTCTTTCCCTCACTAACTCTTTCTTTGACTAACTTGTTTCTTTGCTAACTCTTTCTTTGACTAACTCTTTCCCTCACTATCTCTTTCTTTGACTAACTCTTTCCCTGACTAACTCTTTCTTTGACTAACTCTTTCCCTGACTAACTGTTTCTTTGGCTAACTCTTTCTTTGACTAACTCTTTCCCTCACTAACTCTTTCTTTGACTAACTCTTTCCCTGACATTCTAAAAGTCCGTAACACGGAAGTTTCTCCCCCTAAACTTCCTTTGATCACTATATATGTTATACATATGTGTGCATGCAAGCATGTATGTGTGCTTGCATGTATGCATGCATGCATGTATGCATGCATGTATGAATGCATACATGTATGCATGCATGCATGCATGTATGTTTGTATGTGTAAGTGTGTATGATCAACAATTTTTGAAAATGTTATAATTTGATACATATATATATATATATATATATATATATAGATACACATAATGTAATCATAATGTTGTATATCCGCCGACCCCTGGCGACGGCATGGGGGGGCGCGCAGAGAAGCAATTACCAGCAGCAAGTGTCGAGGAACTTCGCCGCCATGGTTAGCATGGTGTTTCGCTGTGGCGAGCTTGGTGGCTACAATTTGAAGCTAATTTGGCAGAGGCAGCCGCAGGCCGAAGGCCTGGTCTGTCTCTTTCGCATTACCCGCAGCACTCTGCCCTTCTCCGGGGACTTGATCACACTTTCGGTCTATCTCTGCTGCTCTGGGCCTCAGCTTTCCTACAATACCAACCCTGTTCAAACCTGTGCTGCCAACACAAACTCCTCAGCTTGACAGCCACGAACGCCTCCAACCCGAAAGGCATCGCCGGTGTGCGAAGCTCTACAATACATACTATACATGCAAATGATTGTATCTAAGGTTGTTGATCAAAATTATCTTTCTCGGAAACGGCCATTCTCCACGAAACAACAATGTTGCATTTGCGTATGTTCGCGAAACTGTAGCAACTCCACGTTTCGCACGAACCCATGTATAGGAATACTGTCTCTCAGTCACTGCCTTCTAGATTCTCAGAGATTATTTCCTGATAAATATGTAGACATGCGGGTGCATCACAGAATCCCGAATCACTGTATCAGGAAAGATTGTTGCGTAGTGGGCTTGTATTGCAAGGCTTACTACTGTGTCATCCCTTTCAAAATGCCAGATTAGCCCGCTCCTCCGCGTAGTTTTCGCAAACTCTCCCAAAAGTAACCCTATAGGGTATGCATGTTTAATGATGGTTCATTATATCTATGTAATTTTGGCACTGAACGAATGAAAGTGTTATTTTACTTCGGCGAAGAAAAGTTTGTACAAAGTGTTACTTTCAAAAACTCAAGCAAAAAAATGGATATGAACGGTCACTGCAATCATACTTACTGCAAGTCCTTAATGCCTAGGACCTTTAGATTGATACCCATTCTATGAATATTCTGCATATATATATACATGTATATATATATACATGTATACGTACGTACATACATACATACAATTTAGCTACACAGTACACATACAGGCACATAGCAGTCACATGGCACTGCCAGCGACATGTAAACGAACTGGTGATAGGCCACATCTGCAGATGCTTGCAGGTCGCGCAAGATAATTACTCTTCCTTGCCTGAACCAAGACGACCACAGTTCCCAGAATGTTCAGCGCCACAACCACAAGCAGCAGCCACAAAGTGTGCACGGCAGGGAACATATGCCTCACCAGAAAGTCAGTACCAAGAGTGCTGCTTGACATGCAACCAGTGCGAAACGTTTCTGGTGACTGGGGTGTCCCACGTAAAGCATCTGCGTGGATGTTCCAGCAAAAAATCCAAGACACGCTTGTGTTCTGACTGTGGCCTGGAAAAGCCGCAAACACGAATAGCAAAGATTAGTGTACGTGGACAGTATGGATTATTCAGTCTGGATAGCTGTTTCAAGAATTGGTGATACCTCATGATACCTCAACACCACGGGCTTCCGTGCCAAAATAGCCGTGCTAGATTTAGGGGTGAAATTTGGAGACGTACCGCACGTTGATCCTTCTTCTTCCCTCGCAGTCTTGGTCAGTACACAACTAGCCTAAACACCTACAGACTCATGAAACTTACCTCTGATATTCATTCTGAATACAAACCCTCAAATGGCCACAAGTTGTTACGGAGGTACAACTCGGGCCGCAAGCTGGATACGTCGACTCCAGGTGAAAGCGATGTAACGTACCTGGCATCCAAGGACAAAAAGTTGAATATAGTTGAATCAGTTTTGGCCAAGCTGTGTCGGCTTCCAGATTTTGGAAACAAGTTGATTCCATATCGCTTCCCCACACCAGCCCCAAGGCACCATGATGGGTAGCCCAGTGTTGCCGAGCAGAATCAGTGCCTCAGCTGCAGGGGGGCTCTGCTTTCCTGAGTAAGTCATCAGTTGTGGGCGGCTGAACCCAAAACGTCCCAGAACTGGGAAATCACTTTGTGCTGGTGCGGATGTAAGTGGTCATTTGGCCAATCATGATAACTCCCTACAAACCAGCTACCAGCCAGCAGCCACGAGTCTTCTGAGTGACCAAGCTCCAACGGTGCTCAACAAAACAGGGCTGTCCACATAGTCCTGGGCACAATTTGGAGTCTTATAGCCAACCAAATCTCGGAGAATCGGAAGATCCTAGTGTCTTGTCAGTGTACCCAGGCGAAGGAATGTTGGAAATGTTTGGAAATACTCGGCCAGAGCTTGGCCCACTGGTATGTTCTGACAGCTTCCTGTGGAAGTGAAGCTGCTCAGTCCCGACCGATTTCACAGAATGATTTTCCCCATGGCTTCTTACTTCTGCGTGTTGAAAGCTCGGGTCTCCATGTCACAAACAGTATTGGGATCCAGGGATGATCAATCCTGTGCCTCAAATTTTGCCTATCCTCCCTAGTAGACATGTAGTCTTAATTCCAACAGGTGGAGCATTCCTGAACCATCAAAACTGAAGGTGATGAAATGTCCCCGGGGCCCCCAGTCTTAGGAGCCGTGCCATCACCGAGGACTGCGTCAACACCTCAGCTCCCAAGAGCCAGGACAGTACACCACTGCCATTAGATCAGCATCCCTCGACTGAAAGTTTATGTGTATCATATATATATATATTTAATTACATATAATCTATATAATCTTTATATATACATATATACATAGATAGAGAGAGAGAGAGAGACAGAGAGAAGCGAATACTATGCCATATATCATTATGGCTGATTTGGAAAGAGACCCCTGATCCTGCTACCAAGGATCCCCATCCAAGTACAAATTTTCCATCAGACTGGTCATAAGGGGTGTTGTTGTTGGGGATCAGCCCCCAGAAATCAAACCGAACTTCTGTGGAGGGTGTTCTGTGCCTCGTTGGTGAAGTTTCAACTGGACCAAGTGGTAGGCAGGTGGCTAGTCGATTTCCCCGCGCTTAGGCTGAGGGCCACACCAGACCATTGTTTTGGAAGGAGGACACCGTCAAGTACAGCGCCTCAGGCGAGAAGTTGGGTCCAAGAAAACATAATATAGGATAATCGAAGGAAGTTTAGAAGTCAAACTTCCGACAATATGGACAGATGAAAAGCAGAGCAGGGAAGAGGCAGAGAGAAGAGAAAGATTAGAAGAAAGAAGAGTAGAAGAGAAAGAGTAAGAAGAAAGAAGATGCAGATGCGCGAAAAGGTAGGAAAGTCGAGAAACATGGTCTTTTTCCAATGATTTGGGGCTCCGGAGGGTCGAAAAGTAGGCTCGCTAAAGCGCGGGTGCGGAGCCAGCTGGCCAGATGAGAGATGAAAAATTGCACGCCGTTGTGGCGCGAAGCACATTTCAAGCCAAAATGTACAAAAACCTCAGCGTCGGACCACTTTTGGAAGTTGAGATGTCGAAAAATTGCACGCCGTTGTGGCGCGAAGCACATTTCGAAGCCAAAATGTACAAAACACCTCAGCGTCGGACCACTTTTGGAAGTTGCGATGTCGAAAAAGTGCACGCCGTTGTGGCGCGAAGCACATTTCCAAGTGAAAATGTACAAAACACACCAGGTGCGGACCACTTTTGGCAGTTGAGATGTCGAAAAAGTGCACGCCGTTGTGGCGCGAAGCACATTTTGAAGTCAAAAGTGTTAAAAACTGACGGTCTCGGACCACTTTTGGAGGTTCAGATGTCGAAAAAGTGCACGCCGTTGTGGCGCGAAGCACATTTCCAAGTCAAAATGTTAAAAACACCAGGGTCTCGGACCACTTTTGGAGGTTCAGATGTCGCTTCGCTTCGCTTCATTACACTACACTACATTACACTACACTACACTCCACTCCACTACACTACATTACACTACATTCCACAACACTACAACTACAACTACACAACTACATTGCACTACACTCCACTACACTAAATTACACTCCACTACATTCCACTACACTAAATTACACTACAGTACACTACACCACACTCCACTACACTACACTACATTACACTACACTCCACTACACTCCAGCACACTAAATTACATTACACTACATTACACTACACTACACTATACAACTACACTCCACTACACTAAATTACACTACACTACACTACATTACACTACACTACACTACACTGCACCACACTAAATTACACTACACTTCACTACATTACACTGCACTACACTCCACTACACCACTACCTTCCACTACACTTCACTACATTACACTACACTACACTCCACTACACTACAACTACAACTACAACTACAACTGTACAACTACACTCCACTACACTCCACTACACTAAATTACACTACACTAAATTACACTACACTACACTACATTACACTACACTACGCTACAGTCCACTACACTCCACTACACCACACTACGCTACACTACACTACATTGCACTCAATGACACTGCACCACAGATAGACAGGTAGACAGCTAGACAGATGAAGGAGAGAGAGGGAGATAGATAGATAGATAGATAGATAGACAGACAGATAGAAAGATAGATAGATAGATGGATAGATAGAATGATTGATAGATAGATAGATAGATAGATAGAAAGATAGATAGACAGATAGAAAGATAGATAGATAGATAGATGGATAGATAGAATGATTGATAGATAGATAGATAGATAGAAAGATAGATAGATAGATAGATAGGTAGAAAGATAGATAGATAGATAGATAGGTAGAAAGATAGATAGATAGGTAATTAGATGAAAGAAAGAGAGAGAGAGAGAGAGAGATAGGTAGATAGATAGATAGATAGGTAGGTAGGTAGGTAGGTAGGTAGGTAGATAGTCAGAGAAAGAGAGAGAAATAGTGAGAGAGATCAAGCACCTTTCGGTCCGTCAGTGGATTCGCTCTGCCATCCCTGATTCACAACAACCAATCTCTCCTATAGGTTTCCTATTTTTGAAACTTCCGCCACCGCCTTGCGCGGTACTACTGGTATAGGTACATTGTGTATATTATATTTTGTAAAACAATGGCTTCTGGGGTGCCCCAAGAATCCTCTCAACTCCATTTGTTTCACCTACATCAGACTGGTTGGACTGGCTATACAATCTCGTTGACTTGCTTGTGATCAATTGTTGGAAACAGTCGTTTCAGTTTGGGTTTTCCGACTGTGTGGTTTGCACCTGTTGATTGCTTTTGAATTTAAAAACCACCTTTTCTATCCTTCTTTGAGCCACGTGGACACTTCATCTGGCAGCAAGCACTGTCCTGTAAAAAAGACCAGAAATGCAGCCAAAGGCACGTGAGGGAAGGGTCGCAGACCTTCCTTGTCAAACTTCTCCTCACTGGTCTAATCAAACATGTGGATGCACGCCAAAGCTGCATGGCTGGTGCTTCTGGTTTTTCAGCGGTCACGGGCACCTGACAAACCACTAAGTTCTACAATTCTACAGTGTGTCTAATCTTGGAGAACAAATGGTTTCTCAGTTCCCGTTGATTCAGCTCCGAATGTGCTCTCCAGCATGTCGAGAGACTTCTATTCCATGCATCCCCAGGTAACGGCTCCTGCACTGGCCCATGGCAGCAAAGGTAGCAGTAGATGATGATGATGCCAAGGGCATGAACGCCCACCCTGGCCACTAAATCGGTTGTCAGAGATCTTGATACATCGGTCATCTCATGTTTCACCTCTCACTGGTTTAGGGTTCCTTTTTTGCTGCTGAGCTTCCAGTATCCGGCCATGATCTTGAGCACCTTTGCCAAGGCCTGGCAAATCTTCACTCTGGTGACGCTCTTCGGGCAATATCAGAAAGCAAAAGGTAAGCAGAGGTAGCTCATTGACGAGGCCTATCTCATGGCTCATTCAAATTCCACTCCCAAACCCCCAAAAACATCAAAAACATATAGGCCTGAAAATTCTCCCCGTGACCGCCTCTTTCGCCCTCCACTAGCTTGACTTGTGCTAGACTATGTAAAATCCAAAGTCGGCTCACATGGCAGTTGGGAGTGCCAAGCTGTTGCCGGAGCCTTGTACTCCAAGCGGTGCGATCTTTCCAGTGCATGGCTTGTGCAACTCAGTGATTTGGTTTGGTGTCCCACCGGGCTTTGTTGAGATAGTTACAGCGAAAGCCAGGGCACAGCATTGGGGATCACAAATGGCTGGGTCAGTGTCATCATGATCAACCATTCAATGCTGGGACTGAAATATTTTTTTTGAAACTATGGCCTCTTGAAATCTCTTGAACAGACCATTTGACCAAACAACAGGATAGAAACATCAAGGACTGACTGGGACTGATGATTTTCTTGCCACAGGTCCAGCCCTTGAGGTCCGAGCTGGTTCTTTCTGCTCTTCATGGCCTCCTTGCAGGCCCAGCACAGGTCACTAAGATTTCCCGGATATGTCCAGATCCAGCACTTCCCGTTCCAAAGCAGGCCATTGAAGTCACCCCCGGGTCGGCGCTCCCACCTCTATGGATTCGTCTTTGGGCATCTGAGCACCAGGCAACAAAATGCTAGGCATTTTGAGACCAAGAGGAAACAAAAACTATATCCTCGAGCACAGCATGTCAATCCCCTTTTTGGCAACTTGTCAGAGGTGTTGGGGGTATGTCTCAAGTTCCGGTCCCTACCCGGCATTGTGGTTTCCAACAAATGCAGCAATTCTGCAGATTCTTGTGATTGCTTTCTGGGTATGATGGCGGATGATTGTAGATCAACTAGTAAGTAGTACAACGTTGGTACACACCCTCGCGCACATACAACGTATCTGTGGTCCCCTGCGTGCCAACGTTGCGCTGACTCCCGGTGGCCGTCGTGATTGTGGTGGTGAACGAAGAGCTCCTGGGTGTGCGGCGAAACTCTGCTTTGGTTGGTTCCACGCATACAAGGGTGTGTTGCGCCATTAAAAAAAAAATGAAGCTCAACAGAATGCGACTCAACTAAAATGTAATCATATCATTTCCATGGTAATTGTCACCTCCTTGTTGCCATGGACCGACAGACCAAAGCTAGACTAGGAATCTGTGGAATTCTCGCAACAAGGGGCAACACTTACTCAGCTGCTCTAGGTCGTGTTTGGATGTGAACACCGCTTCAGGAGCTTACTTGCTTCATGCCTTCAACCTTCAGAGTGCCCCTGACACAACCAAATTGTTTTCGAATTGGATTGCCACATATTGCCACTGGATTGCTATGAATCACCATCTTTCAGAATAGTTCACCAAATATTTCAGATATATTTCAGCAAATAGCTCACCATAGTTCACACATATATATATATACGTATATATATGCAACTATGTTATGTTCTCAATGAAACCACATGTAAACTACGGTATCGAGCGCCGAGGCGCTGGAACTCCCGGATCGGAGTTGTATCGCCGACTCAGCGTGACTTGATTTGGTCACAAGGCGGGAGCAGCTGGAGAGGCGGGGGCAATGCAGTGCTTGGACTCCGACTTGGCCAAATCCGATCCGTTGGGTGCTATGTGGATCTATTTGGGATGTTTTCAAGATTTTTCAAGTGTCTCAGCTTTAAGACTTTAGTTCAAGAATGATCTCAAACTCGATCGTCTGCAATGACTACCTGTCATTGGTCTAAGCTGATCCGATCTATCTATGATACCTCGGGTTTTCGAATAAGACAAGTACTCTGTGGATGGAAACAAACAGGAGAAACTGAGCATCTGGCAAAGTTGTGATGGTAGTCCTGCCAAGCTGTCGAATGCATGCCCTGCAAACATGTGGAACGATCCTTTTGCCACAAAACTAGCACGACAGCTCATTCCAGGAGCATGAGTGCTGCAAGAAACTCTCTCGGACATTCGTCTCATAGTCACGCTCGCGTGTGAGACCGGTGCGCACGCCGACGAGTGTTTCGTGAGCGTGTGGACCGTTGCTGAAAACTAATTAAATGCAGGCACCCGCATTGACGAAAGGCGCGGGGAAAAAGCAAATTGGGCAGAAAGGTCCTGCAAAGCCACCGACGACAAGAGGACACGCCCATTGAATCCAGGACAGTCAAAACACGCACCAAACGTGCGAACGGACCTGACTTGGGACAGGTGCCGGGACCAAGGCACCGCGACACCTGCCTTGAGGATAGCATCGAAAGTACGCTTCCAAGTACGGAACATCGTCGCGAAAGATGGAATTGCGAACTCCAAAGTAGGGTCATCCTGAACCCAAACCCACTCATGATAGTGCAAAAAGGCCGGGAGCGCCAACGTATCATGAACATAGCCCCAAAAAAGTTCAAGCCACGAAGTGTCTTGAAGCTGACCCAAGGTACCAGCGTCGGCAGCCGGGGCCCAGCGGATCTCCCGCATCCAATTAAGGAGGGACCTTGCAAAACCCTGGTGACAAACAACGGGGTGGATGTCATGTTCGAACTTCAACACAGACCTGGGACCCACCAGGCTGACAGACCCGACCATGACCGGTTGACGCGCAACTGGAGCGTCCCTGTCATTCGCGAAGAGAAGGGCAACCCCTGCCTGGAAAGAAAACAAGTCCTTGGCCGTAACGAGCTTGAAACGAAAATCTTTCACAACGTGCTGGAAAAGAGGGGTGAAGTGGCCACACAAAGACTGCTTAGCAGCAAGGTCAACCCAGTGGTTGAACCACGCGTGGACCTTACACATTCCAACAGCAGTGCGGTAGTTGACATGCCCTTTGATCCACCGCACCCGCACATCCTCGAGGTCCATTCCCCGGACAACAGAGAGGAAGTAAGCCCACAAATCCTTGTTGTCGGCCGGTAGCACCGGTGAAAGGCCTTCCTTAAGCTGCAACAATAGCCTGGTGGCGATACGGCAAACAGACAGAGAGTCGGTGAAGACCACAGCCTTCCTAGCGGAGCTCAGGGCGCACGACACCGCCAGGAGCTCCGCCCGAAAAATAGTCTGACAAGACCCCGGGAGTATACCATGCCAAACAATCTGAAACGTACCGTCCGGGAGCGCCCTGAGAACAGCCCCCGAAGCAACCCGAACGACCGCGTGCCGGGGGAACAAGCAAGCCCCATCAGTGTACAGAACCTGAACATCAGGAGAGTCGCACCTTGGGATGTGAGGCAGGGAGAAGGTGTCCAACCACGCCTGCCATTCACGCCACCCATCCGGCTCCGGAAACAACCCAAAGGCAGTCGTGAACTCAGGCAACTCCTCCCACTGACGCATCAGAGCAGGGAACACCGTCCGCCAGGATGCGGACCGCGGGCATTCTCGCAGGCGATGAACTCTGGAATCAGGCGAACCACAATGTACGCAATGCGCAGCCGACGCTTCAATGTGCTTTGTGAATTCCCCTGAGAAAAAGGCCCCAACTTGCTGCTGCAACACCAAAGCCTTTTCGAAGGGCAGTAAGTGCCGGGTGTTCTGCGAAAGGGGTACACAAACGTTCTCAAGTTCTGTGAGATATTTGCGGTGCCGGACCTGAGCAGCAACTTTCTCAGTCCAGGTGGAAAGGACGAGGGCTTGGACATGCTTCAGGGGCGTCAAACAGATATGAAAAACCCTACCAGCAACGTCAGCAAAAATCCCATCACCAACAAACGACCAGCCAATAGCCCCCAGCGCATGCACCAACAGCCTAGAGGGACCGGGCCTGCGGGAGTGCAGGTGAAGCCCATCAAGGAAGAACTGTGCCAAGGCCGGAAGTTCCTTAATAACTTGCCTGAAAAGCTGCATCCTGTTCACCGCCAACGCCAAGACAAACTCTGGGTCAACACATCTGTAGGAAGCAAGCAGACACGCCAACCAGGGTGACGCACCTTTGGGCCTACACCCAATCGCCCGTGCCGCACCGGAACGCAAACGTTGCATGACCGTCTTGGGCGTAGACGACGTTTCGGCCGCATGCAAAGCATGTGGAAAGATACCCGACAGCAGCAATCGGGTTTTGCGAAAAACAGAACCTGGCAAACCATGTAACCTGGACATGCGGCCAAGGCCGGAAGTCGTCCTTTTGTTCCTTTCTCTGGCGGCCTTCCTGCAACAATATGAAATATCTGCCCCCAGTTCACGGGCCTGCAATTTGACTGGGACCTTTTGTTCCAGGAAAAGGGCCGCACGGAGCCTACGCCTGCCGGCAGCACAAATTGACCAAAACCAACACTTGGAGGGGGAGACCAAGAGCTGACACAAGTCCAGAAACTTCTCGACCACAGGGATGGCACGCAACAACTCGTTCGCAGACCTGGCGACCAGCTCCCAATTGTCAGCGTAAGTCATGCAAAGGACCTTGGCCGGGCCCCTTTGCACAAAATGGTCAAATGCCTTCGCAAAAACAAACATTCCCACCACACTCAACGGATCTCCTTCCGGAATACCTGTAATTGAGCCAGCGCAACCGAAGACAGCCCCTTCAACCAGCACGGTCCGAGAGAGTTGACGAAGCATGGCCAGCCAGGCGTCCACCACCTGAACAGGAAACCCAAACCTCACCATGAGGGCCTTCAGCAGGTTCCTGTCCAAAATATTGAAACACTTGGTAATGTCCAGCACCAAGCCTGCCAACGATGCCTTTGCCTCAACCTTCTGCGCAATGAGATCACTGAGGAAAGTCCAGATTGCCCTGGTACTAAGGCTAGGGGACACAAGCGGTTTGGCAATATCCTTTGCGTGCACCATGAATTGAGCGGTACGCACCCGGCTCCAGATCCGGTAACAGACCCCCGCAACGGTGATTGGCCTGATGCAAGACCAAGTGGGGCACACGTCATCATCTTTCCGAAGCAGGATCAAAACCCACGTGGAAAGCTGCTCTGGCCACTGCTTAAGGGCCTCAACCGCCCGAAAAAGCCGCAAGAGGAGCTCAGTGAACCCGTCCGACAGCCATGAAAGTTCCTGCACTGACCATTCATCAGCCCCACGCATCGTACGTTTACGCGCCGACTTGAGTGCCCTGTGCCAGTCGGAAAGGCAAAGCGGCTGATGCAAAATGGGGGGAGTCTGCGGCAACGCTTGAATAACTTCACCAATGGATTCCGTCGACACCTGCGGCCTATTCCAAAAGGTATTCCATTGCCCTAGAAAGTGTGAGGACCAAACCTCCGGTTCAGCAGAAACAAAGGACCGAAACAGGGAAGATGCCTCTCGACGAGAGAGAAGACGATTCACCTGTATAAAATCCTCGCTCTGTGTCAACACCTCCACACTCAATCGATCACCCAGCAAAGTACAGCCAATGGGAAAGTCCTGAGGGTTAAGGACCTTAATCCAAGCCTTGCCAGCCTGACTCCATCGCTGGGGTGCAAGCTTCACTGGAATCTGAACAGTCATATCCACCACGGGTGGTTTTTTGGGATCCCTGACCAAGCGAAAAGGGAGTGATCCTCCCTCTGCAACCCATGACTTTTCGACCTGCTCATTAAAAGACAGTCTTTTTTGTCGCCAAACCTCGGTCGAACACCGATTGGCGAAATCCATGACAGCCATTTTAATTTTGGAGACCTGCTCAATCGATGGGCAATCCTGCCAAGGAATCTGGGCCTGCGTGACTAACCAATGCGGGAAAGATTTACCAAAACCTGTGGACGCCACAATAGTGGACCAAACCTGATGCGTTTCAGGTACAATGGCCTGCCCACAAGGTTGTAAAGCTTTGCGCATCAATCTCTCAAGGCTCTGCAACCGACGGCCTTGCTTTTGTACTTGCCTGACTTGCAAGGCTACTGCAGGGAATTTGACACGAAAATCGTCTGGCCGCCCTTGCTTAAACCTTGGGGCAGCCAAAACTCTTTTGACCGGCACTGGTTTGCACGCACGACCCAGGTATTTACGTCCCGGCCTTGCACCGTTCACCGTAGAAGCCTGCCGCAATGTTTCCTCTGCACTTTTGGACCAGAGTCCAAAAGCAAGTGACAAATCCTGTTGCGCAATGGCATGCTCAATGCGTGAGTAAACGTCCGGAGGAACCTGGGCGGTCCGAACCTGATGTGTATCAACATCCAGATCATCGAATGCCCGAGGGAGCATCCATTTCCAGACCTGCGGGTTGGTAGAGGGGATATCGAACCGACCCACCAAAACCGCGTGACTATCCAAGTCAGCTGTGTGGGAAACGGACATCCCTGTCAAAAAACGAGAAAAGTCAGGATTGCCAAACTGGAAAGTATGGCGTGTCGCACCCTTACACGTAGGGTCCAACGTGGCGCCAAACCTACTGTGTGCCAACTCGTGCAAGTCAGCCCAACCATCTGCGTTCAGTTCACGGAGCACGTCGAAAGCTCGCCAGCTGATATTCATGTCACCTGTGATGACAATGGGCCCCTGAATTGTCTCAGCGATCTGAACCACCCATGCCAAGATTTCAGAATTCAACATGTATTTATGGCTACCAACGACCGCATTGGGGAAAAGGTACACCGTGAAGACATGAAGCGGGACCTGAAAAACTTGAACAACAGTATAAAGCAGACGCTGTGAGGACCACGCCTGTCGCGGCAAAAACTGCGGTCGAGGCGTAAACGCGGGGAAGACACTTGCAACACAGACTCCCCTGCTAAGGCCTCGGAAAGAGCCAAGGGCACTGGAGACCTGAAACTTGTCTGGAACTGGGTCCGAACAGGACAGATTGAAACCAAAACCTTTGAACTCGGAATAAAGAGCGGGCAAAGCCCTCCTTGTGTGGGAAGTTTCACTGAACGCGACAACCTGGCACTCACACTCGCGCACCAAATCCCCCTTGCCCAAAAGCTGGGTGGGGTTCGTTGTCGCGAATTGAAGCGAGACCTATGGAACAGCCTCGGCGACACGCCGGGACTTGGGGGAGTTACTCAAAATCTCCTTCAATTCATTGTATCCAGTGACGTATTCCGTCCTCAATTCCGAGATGGCTTTCGTGTTGGCTTTCTCAAGCTGGCCAAAGCAGGATTGCTGACCTCCAATTCCTGCAAACATTTCAAGGACACGAGGTGGTGTCTCTCCTGTTGACCTTCTGACCAAAATGCTATTCCATGAAGGGGGTGGAACATGAAAAACAGGAACACCCGTCACCGAACCACAACAAAATCCCTGGAACAAACAAAGATCGTCACCAACACGAAGGGAAACCACTGCATCATACCACGAATGGAGAATTACCCAAATGTGCCTGCCTTCCGTAGTGACGGCCTCGAGGACACGTGAGTCGTGCGTGGCAATAACCCTGAAATGAATTGTCATCGGACCTGTGAATTGAAGTGCCTGCAAAGAATGTGAGAGGTACCTATGGAAACACTCATCAGCACAATTACCAAAAGTGAAATCAGGAGGTGAGGGAAGCCGGAACTGACTTATTGGGGAGGAACATCGGGTGCAAGTCCAACCTCGACCAAAAAGAAAACAAGAGGGACAACAGTCTCCCTGCACCATATACGCTCGCGCCGTCACAAGTTGGTGTGCAGGTGCCTGCATGTGCAATTGAAACCGAGCCTCATAGCTCCTGTACACCAAAGTGATACTTGCGTCACTTCCAAGATCCGCAAATTGGGAATCTCGTAACGCATTCAAAAGTGCCGGAACTCTCAGTTCGTCTTGTCCAGGAAGTAGAACCGTCTCTGGCATCCTGTACGGCGGACCGTCGTCAAGCTCCTCTTCAACACACGGTTGAGTCCAGACGCAGGTGGGAGAAATGTCCAAAACTGAGTCCTCGTCAATCTGAGTCACTTGAATACTTGCCACAAAGTCACCAGTATCAGATGGTGTGACCTGAGCTAAGGGCACTTCCTGAAGATCGGCCTGTGGATTTTGCCAGCCAACCGTATTTTGGGTGTCCGGAGCAGTTGCATCACCTCTTTCGGCATCACGTACACCTGCATCATGTTGGATTTCGATCTGCATGTCGCCGCCGTGGTAGTTGGTGTTGCAACTTGCACTATCCCGAACGGGGAAACCAGGATTGCCATTGTAATTCGAGCCATGAACGATGTCCTCCTGTTCAACCCGAATATCCAGACAGTTCTTCCATAACCGGACCTTCCCTTCTTGAACTCTTTTTTGGCACACAAAAACTCCCTGGTTGTTTCCGAATGCAGAGCCATAGGCAGTAATGTCGCAAGCAGCTGCAGTTGGAGCACCGCGCAGCCATGGCGTCGAAGCGCGCTCCGAGTATTCGGAAGTACGACACCCTGAGTCCGAACGAGGAAACAACACGAACGGGTCAGAATACCCACCCTCACCAGAAGGACACAAAGCACGGGGTTCGGAGGAGGTACGGGTAACGTCCTGAACAGCACACGGGGCCTCGTCACAATGAATGTCATTGGGAAGAGTACCAACACCATGGGAGGCCTGACATGACACGCAAGCACCACCAAAAGGGACACCTGAACAGGTTGTTTGTGGACACTGCACATCTATGCAGTCACCTGAACTTGAAACAAGGGGCCATTGGGGTGCGCTCAAGGGGTCAACAGCTTGATCAGCACGCCCGACCTGTGGCTCCTGACAAGAACCCAAATTGGTCTCAGCTCGGACACCTGAAAGGGACTCACACGGAGGGTTTGAGCGCCTTTGACCAGACTCAGAACCAGATCTGGCCTGAAAAACTGGCCTACCACGTTTTGGGGCAGATGTGGAGTGTTCAGCTGGGCTGCGGCTCCGCCCTTTATCTCCACTTTTGTCACGGTCGTCTCGATCTTCCTCCTTAGGCATCTTTTTATGAGGTTCGTCATGTCCAGAAGAACCTCGCAAGACCTTCAAAAAGACACTGGCAACCCTGTCACCAATTTCGACATCAAGAGCCAAGGACCAGTGAGTGCCATAACTCAACAGTGAAAGCTTTGAGTCACGACTGAACGTGGACAGCACAGTGCCGAAATCAGTAACATTTCCAAAAAACATCGGATCCTCTTCGCCGTTAAGCACAACAAAATTCAAAGTGTCCAAAGCCGCGGGGAACTGGCCCTGAACGGAATTCAACAAACGGATCAATTGAGTAGGAATCTTGTTGAGACCTGGCGGGGGACTGAACGCCAGCGCAAGTTTGGGGCCAGCAGGGGCCTTTGACGAGCTGGCAGTTCCCGTTGGTTCATCCCATTTAGATTTTCTGATCCTTTTGGGTTTCACACCTTGTGTCCGACCTTTTGATTCGGATTTCCTCTTTCGATCGGGTGTCGTGGGCCTGACATGCCGAAATTGTGTGGGGACTTGCGGGTCATCACCAACCTGACTACGCGTCGACATAGGCACAGCACCCAAATCAACATGGAACGCAACAGAATTGGTATGCACAATATTGGAAAAGGAAGCTTCCAGCACCACCTCGGTACTGTTCAAAAAGTCAACCAAGGGGTCTTGCAACCACAGGCGCAGTCTTTTACCTGGCAGGTACAGCGCGCCATAGTGGAAGGGATCTCTTGAATCCTTTGCCAACGTTTTCACGAAAGGCCAAATAGCCTCGAGAAGTTCGGCACCTGTTGATTTTTCCCTCAGTTCTGCCATCTTTGTAACCACATATTCACCTCTAAAAGTGACATACACCGTCAGCTTTTCGGGTCTCTGGACTGACAATTTCTCAACCTCCGGGTCGCACAGGGGAACACTGAAAGAGGCGGGGCCAAAAACACCTGCAAGTGAACTTGGGAGCAGGGGACAAATGGGCCGTGGAAGAGCCAAAGAGACCTCCAAGAGGGATTCGACATCCACATGCTTGTCCACCTGAACAGGGGTCGGGGGCCAGTCGCCAGCAGGCAGCGCACCAATGGACAACTCCAACTCCCTGAGATCAGTAGCACCAGCATGCAAGGACTCCACAGGGTGAGCACGGGGATCAAGACTCGCAGCGCGGAAAAGACACCTGGTGGGTGCATCCGGGAAGAGGTGCTGCCTAATAACCTCAAACACCACCGGGAGTTCCTGAGCAGAAAACTCACCAATGAATTTCAAGAATTCACGTACCTGTGGCTCCGACAGAATGTGAGTCCTGAACCGTGAGTCAAGGTGATTCCTGAGGACCTGCTGCCTGGCACGAATACACCCTAGACCGCAGACACCACTGAGAAGCCGCAGCGCTCGGCTATACTCCGTCAAAAAACAGAGCCCAGGTCTTTCGTCGGTCAGCCTTTCGATCCACACACCGTCCATGGCAAAGGGCCAAACCACGGAACGGTGGGGAGGCGAGACAGCAGAGGAAGGGCACAAAACAACCAAGGGGACAGAAACAACCGAAAACACAACAGCCAAGGACCTGAATGAAAGGGAGACAGGACCAAAAACGAAGAACACCGGGGTTCAGGACAGACCTACGCACTCCTCAAGCAATCAGTCGAAACAGCCCCACCACTGGAAGGTTGCTTGAGCCAAGGGCTAGTGCTGCAAGAAACTTAAGACCCATCTTAACAAATAAGGGAATCTGCTGTTCTCCCTGGCGGGTGTACATCTTTGCACATTCATATAGTTTTTCCGAGACATGAATCAAGAGAGTGCTTGCGGCGCTATGCTTAGGTAGTCAAAACAAAGATCACGTGAATTTGCACCAACTGCAGGGAATGGGCTGCTTCTCGATTCCAAAACATTGTCACAGTACCAGGTGAAAACCAAGTTTGGGAAACCCGCTGTTCTTTGGGTAGCACCGAGGGTTTCGAATGCAAGCCATGCTGACAGTGCCCCATGATTTAGCTGTCGAGTCCCGAACCAACTGCGGTTTGTCTTTAACTCCAAAAGAAATTCATATCACTAAAATGTCCAATTTGGAGACCATACAACCAAAGCGTATGGCCCCTATGGCTATCAAAGCCTTTTGATACCCTCCTTCCCCGGCAGCTGGCTGCAAATTTCTGCCGGCAACACCCATCACTACTGCCAGCCTGCAGGCACGCCAGAAGTCATCCCAGGGCACTTCTCATGGAAGTTCCAAGAAAGAGGCTGGATACATTGACACAATGTCATACGTACGTAAGGTACAGCCATTATGATAATTCTATGATGAATATTTGCATACTGAGCTTCAACTATTGAATCTGATATCACTGGTATCATGACTCATCATGTACAGTGGATGTTCAGCTCACCGCATGCCTCAGGCTGAAGCACCACCCAGCGCCTTGTTGTACTTCTGCCAGGAGGACATCTTCGCTTGCATCCGGAAGGAGTTTTGCCTGGCAACTGGGGACACTCGCAATGCTTGCTTGCTGTGACGATGACCCTCAGCAAAGGTATAGAAACTGTGCCATCATCTCACAGATCCACCCTGGATTGCTTGTTCCGAAACAGTATGGGGCCAGTTTGGGGGTTCGACATACTTCAGCAACAAGCAACGCAAATGTCCAGCCTGAGCACCACTGGCACCATATGTAATAAGGACGTCGAGCCCAAGATGATGAGGATGAAACTGCAGCGAAAGAACGAGACCACAGCCAACCCGGAGCAAGAAACCATGCCATCACCTGTTCCTTGCTTTCTGTGTCAGGAAGTGTAAAAGTCAACCTACAACAGAGTCTCAACTCTGTTTAGGAGTTAAAAGGGCTCATAGTTCAGAGTCCGCGCTCAGAAAGTTGAAGAAGTATGACTCAGTATGACTCTGACGTGGCAGAGTTGCCCAACTGGCAACACGTGCCAAAGCCATTACTGGAGTCCATGACTCGTACGCTAGTCAAGCACCTAATTCTGTTTGTGACGGTGTAGCTGTTGGGGAAAAATGAATCAACAAGACGGCAACCCACTACTATACAATAGTCTACTAAAGTCTACTAATACTCTGAGTCACCATGGATGATTGAAGTCCATACCAACAGAAGGTGCTTGAACTCCAACAGAAGGCGCTATCAAGTTGTTGCGGCATTTTGGTGGGTTTTGCATACTTCCCGCTGCCACGGCTCCTGATGACATAGGTGGAGGTGGCCTGCTTGGACCAGTCCTGACGTGCATGGACTCAGAACAGGATCGAGGTGTGGAAACTAGTCACATCAAGTCACTAGGGTGATTAGGACATAACGGAAATTTGGAATAATTACCATATCCGGACATATTGTGATCGTCTCGGAATATGTGCCAAATTAGGACATATTGGGATCATATTCGTATTATATATCTATTTGGCATATGAGGAGACTAATATGTCCTGTTGATTTTGAGCCTGCCGATATGCCACTGGCCACAGAAACACCAGCCCCGCCCCGGTCCACCACAGCGAGGCCGCTCTGAGACACGCAGCTGGCAGAGGTGTAAAGCGCTTGTGGCAGGGAAAATGCACCTGGGGAAGGCGAAACAGGGCGATTCACATCGCGGGACAACTGGTGAAACAACTGATGGCTAAGTGGCTAAAAAAGAAAATGTGGCTAAGTTGAAAATCATTGAAATCCCCCAACTTTCGGGGTGTTTTCAACCTTTGGTCCGGCCCCAGTCATTGACCCAGCCCAATATCCATGGCACCGTTGGGCTCCAGAAGCCACATAAACATGGCTCCAATGAGGATGACCGTCACCTGCCGAGAAGAGGTCAAGACATGTCAAGACATAGGATAGACATAGGATAGACATAGGTGACAAAGGGCTGCCTGCGTTGCGTTCACTACATGAAGTGTGCAAAATTGCCAGCAATCCTTCAACTAAAGCCGACCAGTGGCCCTAACCCTGGGTGCATGGAAGCCACTTTCCAGTAGCCCCACAAAGTGCAAGCTAGTTGCAGGATGAAAACAACATGTCGCAACAACTGGTTATAGATGGATTCCCACTTTTATCTTTATCCCCTTTCCAACCAAAAATTGATACCACACGTAACAAAAGGTGCCCCTCACCACTCCCGGACTGCTTCATTGACATCTCCCTTGGGATCGCACGATGTAGCCAGCGTAGCACCTCCGCAATGCAACACCATAAGCCAAGCCAAGTACCCCAAATTACGCACTCTCAAGTTCCATGACAAGCCTCTAAGATTCTCTAAGTTCCATGGTAACTTATGTGAACTTATTATGATCCACCGGCTTGCCCACTGATGCTGGGGGGCCGACCAGTAATAGAGCTCCTCAATGAAAAATAGCAAGGAAAACTTTTTCTTTTTCTCTTGGACCTTATTGCGAAATGTGCTGTCAATGCCCTTGTTTATGACAACAGTGCCCCGGCCTGTTGCAAATTGGAACCGGTCCGGAATTGTTTGGGGATTTGTTTCTTTCATTTTTTTTTCCCATGTTGGGATTTCTTTTCGATTTCCCGTCCTGCAGCATTTTGGAGCTGGAAGCTGCCATTTCAACGGTATTTGCAACATTTTGGAGCTCGAACCTCTCGTTTTCCAGGGTGTTTGCAACATTTTGGCGCTCGAACGGTTCATGTTGCATGGTATTATGTAACTAGGGTTCCTTTAGAATTAGTTTAGGGTGTATTTCGGATTGGCTTAAGACTCTTGAAGGGTTGGTTTGGGTTTTTGTTCACGGTTGGTTTAGGTTTATTTATGGTTGGTTAGTTTAGGGTTTACTTGGTTGGTTTGGGGTTATTTGGGGGTGGTTTAGGGTTTATTTGTATAGTGTTTCTTAGGCATTTAGGCCAAAGTTGAGAAGCACAAAAAGCAGGAAAAAGCAGAAAGCACGGAAACAGGGAAACAGACACTCAAAAATCATTCCGAAACGGTCCGAAACGGAAAAAACAAAACAAATTAGCCCTCCAATTCAAACTGACTGACAGTTCTTCCCATGTGCTTTCATTTGCTTATTCTTGTCATCTTCTTCTTCAATTTCCTCTTTTTCGTTCTCCGTCGTTCTCCTTTTCTTCCCCTTCTACCTCTACCTATGCCTCTAACTCTAACTCTTCTCCTTCTCCTTCTCCTCCTCCTCCTCCTCCTTCTTCTTCTTCTTCTTCTTCTTGTTTGATCTTGTTCCCACATACAACAAACTCATTGAGGGTAAGAGGCATCATGGTAGCTGGTGCCAAAACTAGGAAGGCAGCGAGCATCCCAGTTGCAGACTGTTCTTCGTACTCTTGGAGTGATCGAACAATAAATGTAGAGCTACGATTGGTGCATCAGACTTGGCCTCCCAACTGTAAACCAGTCGATGCCCATGTATGCCTCGCAACTACGAAGGTCCAATATGTCAGATCCAGAGAGAGCACGCAGCAGTGGCCTGCCTGACGAATGTCCGACAAAACCTCAAGGGCGTGGGGTTGAAAGTTCAACCCTGCTACACCTGCCATGACAGTATGTAGTGAGGGTACAAATAGCAAATCCAAAAGTATCACCGTGCGTCGTCCTGGAAAACATTCGGATTGGGAACTTCTACGGGACCTCGCTGTAGTTGTCTTGCAAAGAATGACTGGTAAATATTGCCCTTCCAATTCCAATGCAAGAAAAAACAAACGGGCAATATGTCATGGGTCAACACTTCGAACACCCTGAGAACATGCTCCAGATTGAAGAAGAATTTGCATTGTTTCCAACGTGATGCTGCACGCACTTGAATATGACCCAGATTGGGGGTTGGTCTCTTGTGTCTGCAGCATGTGATGTCCTATTTCTTTGTACCGGCACTATGGGGCAAACAGGGATTTTTCTAAATTATCCAGGGCTGTAGTACAGTATTCAGCTTTTCCAAAACAGCATGCCAAGGAAATTCCATACACTTCCCAGCCACTCCAGTGGACCGCGTTTGCAAATATCTTCTGCATATTTCAGCATAAAACAATCAAGGACGCAGATCCTTCAAACCTCGTGGGCGTGCATCTACATATTGTGCCATTCACATTCTAAGTTCCAAAAAATGCACATATCTCAAATGCTTCTTGGGCTAGGACTGCTTGCCGTCCAACCCATGTGGATTGTTGAGCATCCGTGCCGTTCGGATATTTCCAGCCACTGTCCTTTGGTGCAGGAGTTCTGGCGCTTCCAAAGAATTGTGATTGGAATGAGGTCCTCTATAGATATCATGTGCCACCAGCCGAGTTATCAGAGATGTTGAACTGTGAACACTGAATCATACATGTTATCACAATTTATCACATAGTTGTCACATGACAGTGCTTTTGCTAGAGAGATCCAACCTGGCATCCTTATATCTGGCGCCAATCTTGTTTCCTCTGCATTTCTTTGCGGACACTGTGTCCGCACCCTGACCCTGCCATTTACACCCAAGCGGCGGTGTGAGATTGTCCAGCGTGTTGGCTCGAGCCTTATGAGGTCATGGTTTCAGGATGCGAATAGCATCACTGGGTTTGCATTTTGAACTTCCTTGGTGAAAGTCCCAAGGAAATTTGGCCGTTCAAGGCTGCTCACGATAAACTTTCAGCCAAGCAAACATGCTCTTCATTGCTGTTACATGTCCGCCTTAGAACACTTTTCTTTGCTGAAAAGAGTGGTGAGATGTGGTGAGCAAGTGTCAACAGTGTCAACCAACAGAGTAGCAAAGCAGCATCGAAATTCATTTCCTCAGGGCAGATGATTAGGCAAGCGTCAGCTCTGAAAAAATTCTGAATCTGTGGGCATGTAAAAAGAGCCAAAAGAATCCTTGCAGTGCTGAATTAAATCTATTGTAAGTTCTCTTCTCATGTCTCTAAATGAATTATGTATATTTCTTTTTGAGCCACATTGGTCCCAAACCCCAAAGCAACTGGACTGAGTGCCCAGCTCGTCCTGACCAGGCTGGTACACTGATTTGAAGAGCAAGAGTCAGCAGGCGTCCATCTTAAGACTAGAGTGACTATCCAAATGGCTGTCAGACTTCGGGGACTTGCCACCGGCAGCCTGAGACGGTCGACTCATCACCAAAAGACCTTGTGGCCAGAATGATAGAGAGAGGCGCGACGGTGCAATGCATAACCAAAAGATACCAAAGGTAAAAAGCCAAAAAGCCATCCAGCATATTCTGAAAATGATGATACATACAACTGATATAGCTAGTTTTTACCTTCCACGACACGCTCCATGCCCAGCACAAATGCTAGGTGGCACAAATTGGGGAAGAATTGGGGATCCCAGCGGCGATGGTACCGAGAGTTTCGAAGCACTGGTATGATCGACTCCAGCAGTGCCAGCAGTGCTTTGACCTGGGAACATGACACATCTGAGACGTCTCAAATGCCTATGTTGCGGAGTTGGAAGACTTGGGTAATCACTGGGGATTGATAGGCAATTGCTTGGACTTCAGGCTCCCAATTGTTGTCTTCAGAGTTTATCTATTCTGCTCGGCTGCCGTACATTGAGAGCCCAAGAATGTGAGAGCGGAATGAATTCACAAGATATTGCATTCAACCATCATCGAGCCTGCTGCTCCGCAGCAGCGTTTCTACTTTTTAAAGGCAGAGCATGGGTGCCAGAGCTTACCAGGCAACTACCCGTCCACGCTGCGTACCAAGTCGCTGCCAGCCGAGGAGAGGGATCTCTTCAGCACCGGCAGCACGGACTGGCGAAGTGTCACCAAGCAAATCCAAGCAGAACAGTGAGGTGACCAACAAATGGTCGCATTTTCGTTGAGGGCAAGCTGGGATGACATCCCCACTGAGGTTGGACAAACACATCTGAGATACACGTAAGACATACATAGACCTACTAGATGCGACCATCCGCAACTTCCTGGAGCGTAGGCCACACACAGGATAGAAGCCATCTGATCAGATCAAGCAGTACATGGACTAATTTGCTGCTCCACCCAATCTGTTTGGTTCAACTTCGGTAGGAGCTTGGTTGGAAAAGCATCTGCCTGCTGTACTTCGGGAATTCAAAATGTACCAGGGTACACTTTTCAAACCAGCAGCAATGGCACTGATTCAGCTTCATGATCCACGGGCCCTCACAACTTAGTAACCTGATGTGGGGGTGTCATGGCAAAAACAGAACATTTACGGCCATTCCATTCTGAGGTTAAAGGCCACAAATTTCGTCACTGATGCACCTGGCGTTTGCTCTCAAGGCCGTCCTGTAACCAGGGAGGTGACCAGAGTTTGTGGCCGAGGAAAAAAGACTGAAGACTTGCTGAAGACAATGGAACGTGTCATGTACTGATCGGACATCAAGCAAGCGGTCCTGTGACGAATTGGACGTACGACGGCTGTGGGGATGAGACAATTGGGGCCTCAAACGTCGCTGGGGTATACCACACATGGATGCCAAGAATTGAATTTGTCAAACGTCTGAAAGTTGACACCTACTCGTACAAATCAATAATATATGCGTCGTTTAGCTGCTTTGGCCCTGGTAGGATGTTGTACGGATGTTGTACCCATCACAAAGCGCAGTTCCATTTGGGTTGTTCCAATGTGTAAACCCGGATCTGTGACTGTTGGGCGCTAGGCGAAGGTGGTATCTCCTGCTTGCCGTCCTGCCCAAGAATCCACGGAGGTTCAACAGTCCCCAATTGGTGTTTTCTTATGTTTTCTTAAATTCCTGAAAAATGAAAAACGGTGAGGTGGTCTCTGCGACTGCCTGTTCACATCAAACCTCTCTGGAAAGATCCGAAATCCCAAACCAAGCCGAGGGGGAAAACCCTCACGCTGCAGAAGAACCAGCCATGGCCATGTCCAACTGTCCAAATTGACTGTGTCTCCCAAAATGTTTTGCCTTCACTAGAAAGTAGTGGGGTTCCGTAGGTTTGGCTCAGGAGTTGTCCATCGACATAAACAAAATAACCGCTGTAGCCAGCCATGCCACGCCTTCCCATATTCAGTGAGAGACCTACTGCTGCCATAAAGCTCGGCACGCTCCTGCAGCACATGGCGGTGTGCAAAAGTGGGGGGATTCAGATGGATTCAGCACATCAACGGCGCACACAACTCACAAATTTAATCGATGTTCAGAGGTGACATCCAAAATCATCCAAAAAAAAATATCCCGGCGAGAGACCCAAAACAGTGTGGGGGGAGTGGAAGGATAATGTATTACAATGTTGATGTTGATGTTGATGATGATGATGATGATGATGTTGATGTTGATGCTGGTGATGATGTTGAAGATGATGTTGAAGATGATGAGGGGCAGGAGGAGGACGCGGTGCAGGAGGATGATGTTGAGGATGATGAGGCGGAGGGTGATGATGCTGAGGATGTTGATAGTGAGGATGATGATGTTGAGGAGAATGAGGATGAGGGTGATAATGCGGAAGATGACGTGGAGGATGATAAGGTGGAGGATGATCATGTTGAGAAAGAGAATGATAATGATGATAATGATGATGAAAATAATGATGATGTTGTTGATGATGATGATGATGATGAAAAGTATGAGGATAAGGATGATGATGATGATGGTGATGATGATGATGATGATGATGTTGAGGAGGATGAGGATGAGGATGATGAGTATGATGATGCTGAGGAGGATGAGGATGGGGATGAGGATGAGGATGAGGATGTTGAGGAGGATGAGGATGAGGATGGAAATGGAAGTGGAGGAGGACAAGGTGCAGGATGATGATGTTGGGATGGAGGAAGAACACGATGATGAGGATGATGATGTTGAGGAGGATGATGAAAAGGATGATCGCGTTGCGGAAACCAACGATAGTGTTGCGGAAGATGAGGTGGAGGAGGACGATGTTGCGGAAGATGAGGTGGAGGATGGTGAAGTTGAGTATGATGGTGTGGAGGGGAAGGAAGATGATGGTGATGATGATGTTGAGGAGGAGGAAGATGATGATGTGGGGGATGATGATGCTGAGGAGGAGGACCGATCCCAGGACCTAGGACCACACTTTGTGCGAGCCTTCGCAGTCGAAATGCACGTCAACATTTCAGAAGAGCCACTTTATACTGAAATTTACAGTAAAAATGCCGCGGCCCAGATTGAGCCCAGAACAAAGTTCAAAGGACCACACTTTGCGCGAGCCTGCGCAATCGAAATGCACTTCAACATGTCACAAGAGCCACTTTATACAGAAATTTTCAGGAAAAATGCCACGCCCCAGAATGAGCCCAGAACGTGGACACACATTTTGTGCGAGCCTGCGCAGTCGAAAAGCATGTCAAGACTTTACAGGAAAAATGCTGCGGCCCAGAATCAGCCCAGAATGCAGACACACACTTTGTGCAAGCCGGTGCGGTCGAAATGCACTGCGACATGTCACAAGAGCCACTTTATACGGAAATTTACAGGAAAAATGCCGCAGACCAGAGTGAGCACCCTGATCAAGCCCCGGCCTTTACAGCTACCGTAAGAACCCCTCAGTGTGGACTGGACACACTGTTTGGGGAACTTTGTACATGTAGCTGGTGCTTGGTCAGACATGAGACAAACAATTTCTGCCGCATGTACTTCGGATCATGAAAAGGGCATTTCATCCTATGCTGCAAGCTGCAAATGCGTTTGCTTGTTCAGCGCCATGTTCCAAAAAACTTTGTGCAGGTATATCCTATTCTGTGAGTTGGTTCATGCGTGAGACAATTGCTCGAAAGACACTGTGAGCCGAAACAACATATCGCGTAGATGGCTCTGGCAACAGGAGAAGACAAGACGTGACGTGACAAGACAAGACAAGAAGTAGAATGCAGAGAGAGAGAGAGAGAGACGCTTTGTGCGAGCCTGTGCAGTCGAAGCGCATGTCAAGATTTCACAAGAGCCACTTTTTGCGGAAATTTAAAGCAGAAATGCTGCGCCCCAAAATAAGCCCAAAACGCGAACACCCATTTTGTGCGACATTGTGCGAGCCTGCGCATGTCAAGATTTCACAAGAGCCACTTTATGCAGAAATTTACAGGAAAAATGCCGCGCCCCAGAACCACGGCGCAGACTTTGGGCGAGCCTGCGCAGTCGAAACGCATGTCAAGATTTCACAAGAGCCACTTTATGCGGAAATTTACAGCAAAAATGCCGCGGCCCAGAGTGAGCACCCTGGTCAAGCACCGGCCTTTACTCCTACCGTAAGAAACCCTCAGTGTGGACACACTGTTTGGGGAAACTTAGGGTTTTACACACTAAGCTGTCAGCAACAAAACACATGACCTGGTGATGTTCCCCGAAGCTGTGGCATCTTCCATTCCCATCTCGGCCCGTCTCGGCTCTCCCCACCTTGCTTTGCAACAGCAAGGCCTCCTGCGCCTCGATCAACCGATCCTGAAGGGTCGATAAGGCAAGCCGCAGAGCCAACTAGTCCATTTTGTTGAGGTGTCAATATACCTTTCTTGAAAGAGGCTGTATCCAATTGCATTAACCCATATTAACCCCATCTATGTATATCTTCATTATCTTCTTGATGGCTCCTTCTGAGCAGTCGTACTTCAGAAGATTCAGTAGATCCTACGGTTGTTTGGGCTGGAAATTATGCGCATTGATATCTGAAGCGCTTCCACAGCAGAGAAAATCCACCTGTCCTTGAGCTTCTCTCGGATGCTGGGCAAGTTCCACACCTTCCGATTCAGCGAAACCCGCTCGGACCTCCAGGCTGAGCCGCTTGCCATGAAACTGCTCCAAAATGGCAAGCATCTCACAAAATGTATCAAAATGTAATAGTTACATGTTACATATAGTCATATAGTTACCTATCAAAAAGCCTGCACAAAATTGCACAGGACCCTCAGGACCTTCTCAGTGAGTCCAAAGCGCCACAAGTGGCACCGTCCAGGTCCCCACACTTCGACCGATTCGGAAGCTCAGGGCTGGCAGATGAAGACCTTGTGTGCTCGGCGAGACCCCTTGTCACGCAAGGATTATAGTTGGAGACAATCCTGACCATACTATTATGAATCTATTATGCCGGAAGCAATAAGGAGGCAAAGTCTTACCAATAATTCTTGCCAATGAGTCTTGTCAATATCACCAGGAACATCTCAAACAATCACCAAGGGCCAAAGACTTGAGTGCTAGTCCCTTGGCATGACAGGGATGAAAAATATCCAAAAGTGACACGTTCTAGATGGTTGATCCACACCAAAAACTAAAATGGGGCTCCGACGAATCTTCATCACCACCTTTCCAGCCATGCGTTGATTCCACAACCCATGTTGTTGATGAGTATTACGGGAAAAAACCATACAAAACCTCACTATTGTAGATTTAACTACAGCAAGCCGGAATGAAATGGCTTTGTCTGAAAATAGGGTACCCCAAAACCCAAGGCTTTATCATGTTCAGCATAAGAATCGTCCTTTGGGGTATACCCAATTTTCAGGCACACCTGAATGAGTCAAGTCCCACATAAGCCAAACATCTATTTTCCAGTTGAAGGTTTAAGGAATTTCAGGCACTCATGCCTTTGGATGAAGTGCTCCGGCTGCCAGAGATCGCACTTGAAATATGCAATTCCCTAGCTGACCCCTCTGGCATCCCATGGCCTTCCATGGCTGACAAGGGCTACCAGGGCCAGGGTCAATTCATGAATCAAAGTAAGCTGGATGGATCCCTCTCTCAGAATGTTGCTGAGAATATGAGATGCCAAGTGCAGTGGGTCTACTCATCAAACTCTATGCATCTTCTTGAGCTGGGCACGATGACCAGGGGTTCTGCCTGTGTTGCACTTTAATATAATATAATATAATATTATATTATATTATATTATTATTATTATTATTATTATTATATTATATTATATTATATTATATTATTATATCATACATATATATGCAGAATTCGAAAGATAAATGAACATATTTATATATATATATATTATTATATATTGACTTAATATAACATAATACGGTGTGTAGCACTATGACTGGTATATTTTACGATATAATTGTATATGTATGGTCTATATACCCAACTAACTCCGCATGGGACCATGACATAATTATGAATGATGACGGCGCTTAGCTCTTTGAGCCAACGGCAGGAGGACAAATAGCCAAACAATCGTGAACGGGTGACCGGGTGACCAAGCTGCCATGTGCTTCACGAAATGGCAAGGGATGGCTAGAGACTCTAAGATCTTTGGATGAAGACTATGGTTTTGTTGGATTTTAACCTTGATGCAGGCCTACTAAGGAAGATGAGGGGACCCTCAGCAGCAGGCCAGATATCTTGTAGATTAAAAGTTTTGGAAGCATGGAAAGCTCAGGCGCCGCACTTCGGCCGCTCAAAGCAGGCACAAAACAAGTGACCTGAACCCAAAAACGAGGAACGTACACAAAATCTAGAAGTCTCTAACGACTCTAAGGGCATTTACCTCTGAGAGCAACTGTTATAATTTTTGATATACATCATGGAACTCCGCATAGATCTTGAACATTCTTGAACTATCTGAGTCTTCGATTGCGAGTGCATTCAAGAAGGGCGTTCAAACCCATCACATCAACGGACACAGATTGACAATCAGCATCTCGAATGTGTAAGCTGTGCATCTGCCCAAATCAGATACAAATTCCATGATCGATACGCTTAGGTTGTGCATTCCTGCATGTTCTATTCAAATTTCTTTGCAAACGGAGCATTTGCCATGCAAAGTTGTTGACTAGAATCCAAGTCCCTGGCAAAGCACCATGTCGTCTGGATGCACACTCTTGGTTTCGATTACTGTGTCCTGAACCATATTATGTCTGGCAGGAAGAGTGCTGTCGCTTTCTGTGTATATCCGCCGACCCCTGCCGACAGCAGGGGGAGCGCGTCAGAGGAGGAATTACCAGCAGCAAGGGCCAAGAAGTCATTACAAGCAGCAAGGGCAAGAAGCAAGAAAACATGAAAGAAGAAGCAAGAAGCAAGAAGCAATTACAGGCAACAAGCGGCAAGAAGCAAGAAACAAGAAGCCAGGAAGCAACAAGCGGCTGGAAGACAGGTCAGAGAAGTCATTACAAACAGCAAGGGCAAGAAGGAAGAAAACAAGAAAGAAGAAGCAAGAAGCAAGAAGCAATTACAGGCAACAAGCGGCAAGAAGCAAGAAACAAGAAGCCAGGAAGCAACAAGCGGCTGGAAGACAGGTCAGAGAAGCTAGAAACAACAAGCCAGGAAGCAACAAGCGGCTGGAAGACAGGTCAGAGAAGCAAGAAACAAGAAGCCAGGAAGCAACAAGCGGCTGGAAGACAGGTCAGAGAGCTAGTTTTCTTGTCGATTCAGAAAGCAACGTTAGGCAGGCGGCTGGAAGACAGGTCAGAGAAGCAAGAAACAAGAAGCCAGGAAGAAACAAGCGGCTGGAA